TACCATGACCAAGTGGGATTTATTCCAGGGATGCAAAGCTGGTAAAATATTTGCAAATCAATAAACGTGATACAACACATAAACAAAATGAAAGATAAGTATCGCATGATCATATCAATAGAGGTAGAAAAAGCATTCGACAAAATCCAACACCCATTTTTGATAAAAACTCTCAGCAAAGTGGAATAGAAGGATTATATCTCAACATAATAAAGGCCACATGTGACAAATCTATAGCCAACATCATACCCAATGGGCAAAAACTAAAAGAATTTCCCCTAAAAACAGGAACAAGATAGGGATGTCTGCTCTTACCACTCTTATTCAACATAGTACTGGAAGTCCTTGCCATGGCAATCAGACAAGAAGAAAAAATTAAAGACATCCAAATTGGAAAGGAGGAAGTGCAACTGTCATTATTTGCAGGTGACATGATATTATACATAGAAAACCCTAAAAATTCCACCAAAAAACTACCAGATTTAATCAATGAATTTGGCAATGTAGCAGGATACAAAGCTAATACCCAGAAACTGATGGCATTTTTATATACCAATAATGTGCATTCAGAAAGATAAATTAAAATAAAATCCCTTTTACCATTGCAACAAAAAAATAAGACACTTAGGAATAAACATAACCAAGGAGGTAAAAGACCTGTACAGGATGTTCAAAAAAGAGAGAGGAAGATAAGTAGAAGAATATATCGTGTTCATGGATTGGTAGAAATAACATCATTAAAATGTCCATACTAGCCCTGGCCGGTGTTGCACAGTGGTTAGAGCATTCGCCCCTAGACCAAAGGGTTGTGGGTTCGACTCTCAGTCAAGGGCACATATCTAGGTTGCGGTTCCATCCCCCACCCTGGTTGGGGCACATGCAGGAGGCAACCTATTGATGTGTCTCTCTCATATCGATGTTTCTCTTTCTCTCTCTCCCACTCTTTCCAAAAATTAATGGAAAAAATATCCTTTGGTGAGGAGTAAAAAAAATGTCCATACTATCCAAAGCAATCTATAGATTCAAGGTAATCCCTATTAAAATACCAACAGCATGTTTCATAGATCAAGAACAAATACTCCAAAAATTTATATGGAACCAAAAAAGACCCAGGTTTGATCCCTGGTCCCAGTCAGGGTCATGCGGGAGGCAACCAATCAATGTCTCTCTCTCCCCACCTCCCTCCCACTCTATCTGAAAAAAATCAATGGAAAAATATCCTTGGGTGAGGATTAAAACAAAACAATATATATAGATACATGTACACACACACACACACACACACACACACACCCCAATAAAAGAAAGAAAAAATAAATAAATGGTGTTGGGAAAACTGGACAGGTACATGCAAAAAAATGGAACTAGACCACTAACTTAAAACATACACAAAATGATAAACTCAAAATGGATAGAAGACTTAAATATAAGTCATCAAACCATAAAATCCTAAAAGGAAATATAGGCAGTAAAATTTCAGACATCTCACATATCAGAATTTTCACCAATACATCGCCTAGGGCAAGAGAAACAAAGGGAAAAAGAAAATGAATGGGACTACATCAAACTAAAAAGCTTCTGCATAGCAAAAGAAACCAGCATCAAAATAAAAAGGGAACCCAGTGTATGGGAGAAAATATTTGCCAATGATATATCTGATAAGGGGTTAATTTCCAAAATACAGTATATAAAATACCTATACAAGTTAACAAAAGACAATCCAATTAAAAATGGGCAGAGGAGCTAAATAGACATCTCTCCAAACAGGACATACAAATGGCCAGGAGATGAAAAAATGCTCAACATCACTAATCATCAGAAAGATGCAAATTAAAACAACTATGAGGTACCACCTCACACCTGCCAGAATGGCTACCATCAATAAATCAACAAACAACAAGTGCTGGTGAGGATGTGGAGAAAAGGGAACCCTAGTACACGGCTGGTGGCAATGCACACTGGTGCAGCCACAAAAGAAAACAGTGTGGAGTTTCCTCAAAAAATTAAACACTGAACTGCCATTTGACCCAGTGATCCCACTTCTAGGAATATATCCTAAGAATCCTGAAACATCAATCAGAAAGAATATATACACCCCTATGTTCATAGCAGCATTATTTACAACAGTTAAGATGTGGAAACAGCCCAAGCACCCATCAGTTGATGAATGGATAAAAAAGCTGTGGTACATTTTCACAATGGAATACTATGCAGCTGTAAAAAAAGAGAATCTACTATCCTTTGAAACAGCATGGAGGAACCTGGAGAGTATTATGCTAAATGAAATAAGCCAGTCAGAGAAAGACAAGTATCACATGGTCTCACTTATCTGTGGAATCTAATGAACAAAATAAACTGATGAATAAAATAGAACCAGAGGCATGGAAACAGGGAACACACTGACTAATCTCAGAAAGAAGTGAGGCTGGAAGAAATTAACCAAATAATTTATATGCATAAATGCACTGCCCATTGACACAAACAATAGGGTCAGGAAGGCTTGAGGCAGGGTGGGAACTGGGTGGTGTGGGATTAGGGGGAATGAAAGGCGGGACATCTGTAATACTCTCAACAACAGAGATTTTTTTTAAAAAACCCTACTAATTAATTCAATCCTAGTCAAAATAAATAGTGGATTAATATAAAAGGAAAAACTCCAGCCCTGGCTCACTTGGTTGGAGCATAATCCCATACCAAAAGGTTTCGGGTTCGATTCCCAGTCAGGGCACATACCCAGGATGGGTTCAGTTCCCAATCACGGTGAGTACAGGAAGCAACTGATTGATGTTTCTCTCTCACGTTGATGTCTGTGGTCTGTGTCTGTCTGTCTGTCTGTCTCTTTCTCTCCCTTCCTCTCTTTGAAATCAATAAAAACATATCCTCAAGTAAGGATTAAAAAAAACAAAACAAAACCTCCAGCTTAACGGAAATGTTCATCTTTCAACCAATGTTGAAAGTTTTTTTTTTAATACACAGGCCAAAGTTCTCTTAAATTCTTTCTATCCTTAGTTATATATCATCCTTCTACTTCTAAAAATAGTCTTTGACAAGTCTTAATATAATTGTGATAGGTTATGAACACCATGAAGAAGTAAGATAGACTCTCACCCAAAATTTGCTTGGGATATTGAGACATAACACCAAATGCATTCCAAAAGGGTATGAAATCGTGTTACTTGCATAATAACATTTTTCTGGGGAGAGAAGCCCAGGCCTTCCAAGCTAGTCCGAAAATGGCTTGAGAAAGCAGAGAAAGGAGACTGGCTTTGGGTTTTTATATTGTTAGGGATGGGGCTGGGGCAAGAGTTCCTATCAGTGGTTCTCAACCTCCCTAATGCCACGACCCTTTAATACAGTTCATGTTGTCGTGACCCCCAACCATAAAATTATTTTCGTTGCTACTTCATAACTGTAATTTTGCTACTCTTATGTCTTAGGCGGCCCCTGTGAAAGGGTCATTTGACCCCCAAGGGGGTGGTGACCCACAGGTTGAGAACCGCTGATATAGATGGTTTTAACTTGGTACCAAAGGAGGGAACACCTGGGCTTTCTTATCAGCTAGACCAGATATAGGGTGGAAGGTGAAGAAAACAGAGTGAGGCTTAAAATCCAAAATATGCAGTCAGATTCTTTATTACTTAATAATTCAATACAACTAATTTAAAAAACACAAAATACAAAGATAATGAGCAATATGTTTATATAATTTCATAAAATTTTAATTATCTTCATTTAAGCTATATAACTGATTAACAAGCAAATCTGCATATTAAATATATTTTTTGTTGAAGACCAGAAACAAAATTTTAAATGTTCTTCGAAAAGGCTTAAGCAAAAAAAATATATTAACAGTATTATCATTAAGACAGCAATCCGGTCTGGCTGGTGTGGCTCAGTGATTGAGCATCGAACCATGCACCAAGAGGTTGTTGGTTTGATTCTCAGTCAGGACATATGCCCAGGTTGTGGGCCTGATCCCCAGTGTGAGGCATGCAGGAGGCAGCCAATCGATGTTCTCTCTCATAGATGTTTCTATCTCTCTCTCCCTCTCCCTCCCTCTCTCAAATCAATAAAGGAAAAAAAAAAAAAGACAGCCATCTGATTTTCAGAAAATTGTATTCACATTTCATTTTCTTCCACTAAAGATATTGGAAAAACTGCCCTGGCTGGTTTGGCTCAGCGGTTAGAGCGTTGGCCTTCGGACCAGAGAGTCCCAGGTTTGGTTCCCACTAAGGGCATGTACCGCGGTTGCAGTTTGTCCCCGGCCCCATTGGGGTCATGTGGGTAGCAACCAATTGGTGTGTCTCTCTCACATCGATGTTTCTCTCTCTCTCCCTTCCTCTCTCCTTCCCACTCTATCTGAAGATAAATGCAAAAAAATGTCCTCGGATGAAGATTAAAAAAAAGATATTGGAAAAACTGATAAAATTATAATTTTATTCCTTTTTGTATTAGAAGAAAACACATATTATTCACTATCAGTAATGTGAAATCTTAGAGATTATTAAGATATTACTCTTTATATTGTGACAGTAAAGCATAAGTGAAACACAGTAATTTTAAAAGCATTTTTTAGAAGCTAAAGAACTAAGTACACCTCAACATTAGTTCTGAAGTTATTTCTAAAAGGTCTTTGATGGCCTGAAGCAGTTCTTATTCTTATCAAGGTACCTAAAATACTACTATAATGAAACTCAGGTTCTGTGGAGAAGCAGGCTTAATATTTATAATAAAGATGAAAGGAAAAAGCATCAAATTCTATTAAGACTAATGTAAGTTCTGCTTGAATATGGCTTGCAAAATTAAAACCAAATAATGATAATGATAGCTAATACCACAATAAAAAATTAAATGACACAATATTTAAATAATATAATTATGATAACCCATTATTGCTTTAATCAACAAAAAGGTAGTTGAGTCTTCATATTTTAATAATGTAAATTTATGTCATATCTCATTATAAAGCAGTAAAATAATTCAAGAAATTAGTAATTAGTTCAAAAAAAAGTAAACTGAGTTGTATTTTGTGAGGAAGATGAAAAACCTTTTACAGAAGAAGAGGTTGTTGAGTTACGATCCTGTTCAAATGAAAATGAAAAACTAAAATCATCTTTTCCAGTTCCAAATGTATGAGCTGAAGAGTCTGATGGAAAAGAAAATGTAAAGGCATCTTCTCCTTCTGATTTCCCAAATAAGTTTCCTGAAGAAAATATATATACAATATCTTGCTATTCATGTTACATAATTTGTGTAACCTACTAAATTACAGTATACTGCATACAATAAATAGGATAATATTGAATCATTTATCTATCATGCAGATATTTAACTGTATTCCTCTCATGTGCGAAGTACTATCCTTTGAAGTTTAGAAAGTTATACAGATTCAAACTTAAATGCTACTTTAATCTGAACTCAAGTATATTAAGAACTAGTATATAAGGTAGGAAGAGGGCTAAAGACTTCAAGTAGAAAGCATAACACTAAGGCACAAAAACAGGTGTGCATAGAAAATATAAGGGTGACAGAAATCAATTCAGCTTGTCAGGAACACTAAGAAATAATAGTTATTAAAAGGGATTTAATGGAGGTAAGCCTGGAAAAAACTACTGTATGTCCAACTATAAAATCTGGACTTCATTTGATAGGTAACAGGAAGCCATTAAACATTTTCAAACAGAGATATGGCAGGATTTGTACTTAAAAAAAAAAAAAATTTTTTTCTTTATTGACTTTAGAGAGAAAAGAAGAGAGAGATAAAAACACTGATGAGAGAGAACATCGACTGGCTGCCTCCTGCATGCCCCCCACTGGGGACTGTGCCTACAACCTGGGCATGTGCCTTGACCAGGAATCGAACCAGCGACCTCTTGGTGCATGGGATGCTCAACCAGTGAGCTGTTGGCAGGCTGGATTGTACTTCTTTGTATAAGGGTTATTCAGGAGAGAATGTGTAGAAAGGCTAGAAGAGAAGAGGGTCTAGAAGTGGGAATAACAGAAAAGATTAAAGCTTGGCCTTACCTAAAATAGCAGCAAAGGGAATAGAGAAAGAATTGTTGGATCCGAGAGATGTCACATAAGTCAAACTTATTCAACTATTATTTATGAGTAACTACAATTACTGTTAGTGACGTTCTATGAAATTAACGGAACAGTGAAAAGGATTTTATAATTTTAAAAGAAATTTTAAAAATCAACTTTACAGCCCTGGCCTGTTTGGCTCAGCGGTTAGAGCGTCCGCCTGCGGTCCTGAGAGACCTGGGCTCGGTTCCCGCTAAGGGCGCGTACCTCGGTTGCAGTTTGTCCCCGGCCCTGGTTGGTTGTGCGGGTGGCAGCCACTCGATGTGTCCCTTCACATCGATGTTTCTCTCTCTCTCTCTGTTCCTCTCTCTCCCTCCCACTCTACCTGAACAAAAAATGGAAAAATGTCCTCGGGTGAGGATAAAAATAAATAAATAAATAAATAAATAAATAAATAAATAAATAAATCAACTTTACATATAAAATAACAATTCCCAGAACTGTTATTAAGGAAAAATACTGTTTTTCGTTCATTTTATTATTTTAGACTATAAGTACATTTTCAACATCTTAATTATAATTTTAATTTTTAAACAATTTAAAATGTACAGTAATCCAAAGACTTACTTGAAATGTCTTTTAAGGCACCTGTACTTTTTCACAGAGAACCAATTCAATTAGTACATTAAGCAAAACAATTTACTTTGTGCCACTTAGAAATTTCATATATTTTTAAACATCTCATTTATTTCACCATAAATAAATCTAAGCCAACCAGCAATAGGGTAGGTGGGTGGGTAGATGGATGGATGAACTGATTACAGATACTTGAATACTTCCTCTCTCCCTTTATTTTTCCATGGACTTCAGAAGACATGCATAAGACTTAAAGGAAGATAGATATAATATAGCTATAGATCCAGAAAGAACTAAAATCTTGAATCTCCTACTGAATTAATAAATTTGTTGTTGTTTTTAATTTCAGAAGAAACAAAGTTCACATGAAGTATTCATTAGACTCCTATGATCATTGTAAATAAAATAATGGATTACTGCCTGGCCAGTAGGGCTCAGCGCATTGAGTGCTGTCTCATGGACCAAGAGGTCCCAGTTTAATTCCCAGTCAGGGTACATGCCCAAGTTTCAGGCTCAATCCCCAGTAGGGGGCATGCAGGAAGCAGCTGATCAATGTATCACTCTCACATGGATGTTTCTATCTCTCTCTCCCTTCCTCTCTCTCTACAAAACCAATAAAAACATATTTTTATAAAAAGATAGACTGCCCTGGCCCGTTTGGCTCAGCGGTTAGAGTATCGACCTGAGGTCCAGGAAAAAGACAGACTATTGCATGGCAGTAGTCTAGGTGTGGAGAATTCAAGGGTGAATAAAACAGAGTCTCTACCTTCAAATAACCTGTGATTAGAAGAGATTTCATATATATTCATAAATAATGACAGGTGGTAGAATATAAAAAAGTATTTTAAAAAGAGATATTCAGCCCTGGCTGGTTTGGCTCAGTGGTTAGAGGTCTCAGGTTTGATTCCCAGTCAAGAGCACAAATCTGGCCCTGGCCAGTTTGGCTCAGCGGTTGAGTGTCGGCCTATGGACCAGAGAGTCCTGAGTTCGGTTCCTGATAGGGGCACGTACCACATACAAAAAAAGAGCACAAACCTGAGTTGCCAGTTCAATCCCTGGCCCCAGGTCGTGGTCGTGCAGGAGGCAACCAATCGATGTGCCTCTCTCATATAGATGTGTCTCTCTCTCTCTCTCTTCCTCTCTCTCTCTCTCTTCCTCTCTCTCTCTCTCTCTCTCCCTCTCTCCCTCCCTCCCTCCTATTCTCTATAAAAAAGAGATGTTCAGACAAGTGAAAGAGAGATCTTTTTGGATTAGAAGGTTGGAGGGGAAATTAAAAGTTTTTATAGAAGAAAACTTGGTCTTGAAAAGATGGTTAGAAAGAGAAAGTGTGGTCATATTTGGTTTGCAGTGAGTTCTTCAGTCTGGCCAAAACACTGATTACTCATAAGAGAAAAGGCTTCAATGGTGTGTTAAAGCTAGGTTAGAAAAGAAGAACATAATTTGATACTCCACGGGGAGCTACTAAATGTATTTAACTAGAGAAGTGAGATAGTCAACACTATGCATAAAGAAGATTAATTGGACTGTGATCTATAGGTAAGGTGAAAAAATAACAAGACTAATTATGATATTACTGCAATAGCCCAAGTGAATGGTAGTAAGAGTTTAAATATGATTTCAATGAAAATAGAAAAGAATGGAAATAAATATTTTAGAGAGAACTGATAAAAATTAATGGCTAGCTGACTGAATGTAGTCACAGACACAGACAGAAGTTAAAATTATCACTGATGTTCTAAGTCTTGGCAACTAGAATAATAGTACATCAGAAAGAGAACAAGTTTGATTTCAGATATGCTGAGGGTTTTTTTGTTGTTTTATCCTCACCCGAGGATATTTTTCCATTTTTTGTACAGATAGAGTGGGAGGGAGAGAGAGGAACAGAGAGAGAGAGAGAAACATCGACGTGAAGGGACACATCGAGTGGCTGCCACCCGCACGACCAACCAGTGCCGGGGACAAACTGCAACCTGTTGTTTTAATTTAATTTTTTTTCAATTACAGTTGACTTTCACTAGTATATTAGTTCCAGGTGTTCAGCATAGTTATTAGAAAATTGTATCACTTAGAAGTGATCACCCTGATAAGTCTTGTACCCCACTTGACACCATACATAGTTATTACAATATTATTTACTGTATTCCCTAAGCATTACTTTACATTCCTGTGACTATTTTGTAACTGCTGATTTGTACTTCTTAATCCCTTCACCTTTTTCACCCAGCTTCCCAACCCTCCTCCCATCTGACAACCATCAGTTTGTTCCCTGTATCTATGAGTTTCTGTTTTGCTTGTCCCTCTATTTTGTTTTTTAGATTTCACGTATAGGTGAAATCATATGGTATTTGTCTTTCTCTGTATGATTTACTTCTTATCGAATATACTGAGTTTTTAATGTCAACAGATATCTTAGATATAAAGAGATATTAATAATAACACAGTCAGAAATAAGGCCAGTTGACTGCACTGATGAATTTTACCAAACATTTAAAGATGAATTAACGCCAATCCTTCTCAAACGCTTTCAAAAAAATCAAAGAGGAGGGAACACTCCCAACTCATTTTATAGGGCCAGCATTATGTTGATACTAAAACCAGAAAAGGACACTACCAAAAAATGTAAAGTACAGACTAATATCCCTCATGAATATAGATGCAAACAACACATTACTTACCAACTTCTTGTTGTGATGAGAGAGGATTTAAATTTCCTGCAGAATAGTGTTCATTAAACTGAAAAATAATTTCCATTAAATATTACTCATGAAACCAGTAGAAGAGTACACACAGCATTTATATTTGAATCTAAAGCCTGGTTCTTCTAATTAATTAGAGTAGATAAAATGGCAACATTCTATATAGCACACTACTGTACTTAAAAAGAGATCTTTAACACCTATTATTTACTTAAATTAAAATAAGGCTTATTGATTTGATTCTGGCAACAGATAAAATATTAGTAGACAACATACATTTTACTAGAGAAGTTCCTACTTTGTAATATTAATATAACCTACAATTCTAATTAACTTTTGCTTTTTTCTGAAGGCTTTTTACAAATCAGGTTCTTGGTATTGTTTTCCTGCCTAATAAGGAAGTATGATAGCTTCATGTCACTTCAGATCTAGTTTTGCTACCAAAGCCTGTTTTCTCTGTAAAATAGCCTTTTAAACAAATGAAATCATGACAACAGTTTTCTGTTCTTTTTATCTTAATATTGCATCATGATCATTTTTTATGTCATTATTCTTCTAAAATCTGATTCTTTTCATGGCATGTTAATATTCCTCCATATTGACATACCACAGTTTCAATCATTCTTTTGTTTTGGATATTTAAGTTGTTTCTGTTTCTTTTTCTAATATACAGATTTATAATTCTATGACAATTAATAAGGAAAGTTGTGCCTTTGTTGGTTTTTCTCAGTGGTTAGAGCATCAGCCCGTGGACACGAGAGTCCCAGGTTTGGTTCCTGCTAAGGGCATGTACCTCGGTTGCAGTCTGTCTCCGGCCCTGGTTGGGGTTGTATGAGTGGCAGCCAGTCGATGTGTTTCTCTCACATCGATGTTTCTCTCTCTCTCTTTCTTCCTCTCTACCCCTAGCTCTATCTGAAGATGAATGCAAAAATGTCCTCAGGTGAGGATAAAAAACTAAAATAAAATAAAAAATAAGGAAAGTTTTTTTTCACAGAGATTTTATAAGTCATTTAAATTTCTTTTCAGTGAATTATCTATTTACTATATAGACTTTGTCCATGATCTCTATTGAGGCAGTAATTTTTCTCATTGGTACATATAAACTCTTTACATATTAAACATATTAATCCTTTGGCATATTATTGTGAATATCTAATATTACATTCTCATTTTGTCTTTGAATTTTTTGACATATAAAAGTTTATATGTAACCAAACCCAAACTTTAACATTTTTCTTTTGGCTCTCCTTCCATTATTTTTGTGCTTAGAGAGTCAATCCTTCTTCCTCTTAAGATCTGGTAAATATTCACCTATATTTCCTCTGAAATATTTTATGAGTAAACACATTTTAATTTAATGCATCTATAACTTTTACTGCAGTACAGTGTAAGATGAATGCCCAATTTATCCCTACTATTTTTTGATCCCATAGTTATCACATTCTAAATTTATTTCAGGATTTTCTAGACCACACTATTGATCAGTCAATCTATCGATCCTTGTACCATTATCATACTATTTTGATTGTTCTAGGTTTACAGGATGCTTATTATGTAGAAAGTGATATTATCCCCATCAGTATTCTATTTCATGCTATTCTCTTATTATTAATGTCCATAAAATCTATAATGGCATTTTCTCTTTCGTTTCTACTGTAGTAAAATTGTCTTATCTTTTTGTCAGTCTAGTAAGGAGTTTATAAATTTTGTTATTATTTTTCAGACCCATCTTGGCTTTGTTAATTTTTTCTATTTGTTTTCTATTTCATTGATTTATCTTTCTTATTTTTTCATTCTACTTACTTTGAGTTTACTTTGTTCTTTTTTCTAGCTTTTTAAGGTGGAACTTGAGATCACTAATTTTAGACCTTTCTTCTTTTCCATCAATTTAATTATAAAGTATTAATTATTTAAAGTTGTCATTTGCTCTGGTTTTAGAAGTAACCCACAATTTTTGATACACTGAATGTTTGTAATCATTCATTTCAAATACTCTCTAATTTCTCTCATGATTTCTTCTTTGATCCATAACCTAAATATTTAGGATTTTCCTAACATCTTTCTATTGACTTCTAATTTATTTCTGTTGTGGTCTGAGAATATACTCTATATGATGAAAGTCCTTGTAAATATATGAAGACTTATTTTATGGCCCAGACTATGATCTGTTTTGGTGAATGCACCCTTAGAACTTGAAAAGAATATACATGCTGCAGTTGCTGGGTGTGGCACTCTATAAATAAAAGTTAGGTCAAGGGAGTTGATGGTGTTGTTCAGATTTTATGAAAGATATTTATTGACTGTTATCTAATTCCGTCAACTGCTGAGAGAGCTATTAAAAAAATCTCCAACTAAGTTTGTGTTTTTGTCTGTTTCTCCCTTAATTCTGTCAATTTTGGTTCTATAATTTGAAGCTGTTATTAGGCATGTACACATTTGTCATTGTTATATCTTCCTTAAGAATCACCCTTTTATCCTTATGAAATGCCCCTTTATCTCTGTCAATATTCTTTGTCTTGAAAACTACCTAAAGTGGTATTAGTATAGCCATTGTGACTTTCTTATGCTTATAGTTTTCATGATATATCTTTTTCCATTTACTTTCAATCTGTCTTTGTCTTTATACTTTAAGTGTTATTTTGTAGATAACTTATAGTTGGGTCATGCTTTTTACCCATTCTTACAGTCTCTGCCTTTTAATGGATTGTTTTAGTCCATTTATGGTAAATGTGATTATTTTTAAATGTCATATTTTTGTCAAACATTTTACTATTTGTTTTTCTGTTTGTTCCTATGTACCTTGTTATGCTCTTCCTTCTCTGCCTTCTTTTGAGTTAAATGTTTTCTTAGAATTCTATTTTACTTTATTACCAATCTCATTTTTTGAACATTTTTATTATTCTTGACTAGGAAACTTAGTAATGATTTGCCAATCTCATTCCCCAACCCCACCACTACAAAATCAAAACAAAAGATTAAAGATAAATCAGCTTGCCAGGACTCCAATTAGAATTAGATTACATTTATAAGTTATTTGGGGAAGAAAAAGATACTTAAGATATTTTCTTCCTATACACATATTTCATATATCTTTTGATATATTCCATTGTTTTTGCTTTATCCAAATGCACATATTTCCTGCTAAGGTTACATACATGTATCTTGCATTTATGTTACTATTATAAATGAGAATGAACTAACTGTAGTCTATTTTTTAATGGCAAATACACACCTTATAGGAATTACCCATTTTTGAAATAAGCATTTAGATAAAAATTGAGATAAAAGTTGAAGACATAAAATATTATACCATGTATAATAATACTATATCAGTTGTCGATAAATTTATAATTTCAACAATTTAATATTCTGTGGTGGATGTAGGAATAAAATATTCTAATCCACATAAAATTGGCTGTGACTAACCTTGATGAGTAATAATTATATTTATATTACATTGCTACTTATGACATTAAGTGGTTAGAACTTGTCTAAGTGTTTTATATATATAAACCCATTTAATAGTCACAAACCCTATGGTAAAAATTATTTCTTTTTAAATATATTTTTTTTATTGATTGATTTTAGAGAGAGAGGAAAGGAGAGAGAGAGATGGAAACATCAATGACATAGAACATCGACTGGCCACCTCCTGCATGCCTTCCACTGGGGATCAGGCCCACAGCCTGGGCATGTGCCTCGACCGAGAATCAAACCGGCGACCTCTTGGTGCATGGGTCGATGCTCAACCATTGAGCCACACCAGCCAGGCTAAAAATTATTATTTCCATTTGACAGATAAAAAGTAGAGAGTTATATGCCCCAAATCCTACATCTAGTATAGTAATAGAAGCCAAGTAATCTGGCTTCACAGTCTAGTCTTAACCACCATGCTATGTTGTCTTTACTAATCAAATAAAGTATTCCTAATTTTCAGTTTCAATTGGTAAATACAGAAATAAGTACTTTATCATAATTTCTATCACTGAACAGAAGAAATCACTATTAGATGAAAATTCTTTAGGTCTTTTAAAATTAACAGATGATAATGTTGCTATATATACACACGTAGATGAAAAGACCAACTAATAACCTAGTTTTTACACTGAGATTATGAAAAATTCATTTAGCAGTTAAACACATAAACTATAAAGCCAAATTAATTTTTAAACTGCCTTTAACTGCAATTCAAAGCACTCCTACCCTGAGATTCTTTTTTTATAAATACATGTCAATTTGGGGCACCTGAAGTTGAAAACAAAAAGATAATAGATGAACTTTGCTATGTTATCAGTATTAAGAATATTTTTAAAAATTGCCTCTGCCTCAAGATAGTTTGGTACTAGAGAATTAAAATTGCTTGAGGGGCCAGGCTCGTTTGGCTCAGTGGTTAGAATGTCAGCCTGTGGAACGAAGGGTAGCAACTTCAATTCCTGGTCAAGGGGCACATACCTGGGTTATAGGTTAGATCCCCAGCCCCTGTTGGGGTCATGCAGGAGGCAACTGATCGATGTGTCTCTCTCACACTTATGTTTCTCTATCTCTCTCTCTTCCCCTCCCTCCCTCCCATTCTAAAAATTAATGAAAAAATATCCTCAGGTGAGGATTAACAACAACAACAATTACTCGAGGTTCCAGTGTACAATTTTTTTAGAAAAACTTTAGTTTCTCATATTACCTTATCTGATGAGATTTCTGAATCAAATATAGAAGAATCAAATAAATTCAATCCAGGTGATCTAGAAGTATAATTCATAAGAAAAGAAACCCCAGGGGATTCCTTTTGTGTTTGATCTTCAGGTACTGTATTTCTGTTTCTGTTATAGAGAAATAAGAAATCAGCCAAATGTTAAATATATATAATTTAATATTGCAGACTGGTAAATACCATAAGAAATGGCATAGAGCAGTGATTTTCAACCTTTTTCATCTCATGGCACACATAAACTATTAAAATTCTGCAGCACACCAAAATATATCTTTTCTGCCAATTTGATGAAAAAGTAAGAATAATTTCACACCAGACAGCTATTGTTGTCATTGTTTTATTTGACAATCTAAGGGAAAAGAGGTCAGTACTCTTGACTAAATAGTCAGGTATTGCATGTTTTAAAAATTCTTGCCCACACACCAGTTGAAAATCACTGGCATAGAGGTAAGAATCGACACAGTAGGGAAAGGGAGGAGCTATTGAAGTGACAAGCCTATGGAGAAAAAGATGGTTTTAGGTGGGAAATATTGTTATGGAATGATAATTCCTACTGAGAATATACTGTCAGGCTCTCTTCTGGATATTCTGGATATAATGGGTATTTCCATCACCATTATTGTATTTTAATCCTCAAAATAACCCTATGAAATAGGTACTATTATTATCACACTTCCATTTTACAGGAGAGGATTTTGATGAACGGAACGGTTAAATAATTTGCTCAAAAGAATGTAAGTGCCAGAGTTGATATTTGCATGCAGCAATCCAGATTCAAAGTCAAGACTCTTAACCCTGATTCTGTAGGTCCTGAAAGCCAGTCACAAAATTTTAGTCTTTATGAGAAGCCAGTCATTACAGATTGTTGCATAATGGAGTTAAATATAAAATGATTTGGGGAAAAAAATTAGGCAAGACAGTATGTAACAGTGGTTAAAAGCATGGATTCTGGAGCAAAACTGGGTTTAAATCTCAACTCTAACAGTAGTGAGTTGTACCATATGTAATTCTGTTTCTTCATCTATAAAATAAAGATAATAATGTACTTACATCTCATAAAGTTGTTGTAAATCTTAAATGAGCAACAGTTATAAATTAACACGGTGCTATTATTTGTTAAATATCAAAGAAGTCTAAAGATAACGTCCATAACTACCTCCTCGACCATTTAAGTCACTTAACTTTAGATCAGTTTTCTGATCCATAAAAAGAGATTTTAGCATATAATTGCCACATCCTTTTATAGTTCTTGGATTTGATGATGAGTTCCACTTTGAACATGCTGTTTGAGTCAACAGCATTACATTCATATATATATAAAACTCTTACTACCAATTTAAAATACAGCTGTAGAGCCCTGGACAGTAAGACTCGGTTGGAGCCTCACAGCATACATTGAAAGGTTGTGAGTTCAATTACCAGTCAGGGAACATACCTAGGTTACAGGTTCAATCCCTGTTCAGGGTGGGGCGGGGTGAGAGGCAGCCAACTGATGTTTCTCTTTAACATCAATGTTTCTCTCTCTTTCCCTTCCCCTCTCTGAAAAAAATCAATACACATCGTTGGGTGAGGATTTTAAAAAAATTAAATACAGCATTAGAACACAGGTGAGAGGTCTCTGATAAAGCAGACTCTGTTTGACATGTTTTAGAGAAGTCTTGGGGTTCAGCATTAAGGAAGGGAGTGAACTAAGTAAAAAGGTCAAAATGCAGCACTATATTCCTGGCTGCAAATTACAAATCTGTGGTTTCCAAAGTTAAATATTCATTTTAGAGATATTTATGCCTACTGAAGTCACTTAACAGAAAAGCAATTCTTGCTTTAGACATTACAATGTAAGGAAAATGACTGTTGGAACATTTTTCCATGATGTCTTCAATCTACCACATGGGATAATACCTGTTTAGCTTGGCATTTACATTTTTCCCATAGGTTTTTTTTATCCTCACCCGAGAACATTTTTCCATTTTTTGTTCAGATAGAGTGGGGGCGGGGGGGAGAGAGAGAGAGAGAGAGAGAGAAACATCGACGTGAAAGGGACACATCGAGTGGTTGCCACCCACACGACCCAACCAGGGCCAGGGACAAACTGCAACCAAGGTACGTGCCCTTAGCGGGAACCAAACCCGGGACTCTCTGGACCATAGGCCAACGCTCTAACCGCTGAGCCAAACTGGCCAGGGCTCCCATAGGTTTTTTTTTAATCCTTTGGAAAATCTTAAATATTTAGATGATTATATTAGGTAAGTACTCAGGACCTATGCCATCTTCAACTAAATGTTGCAGGAAAAATGGGGTAGAGGATATATGAAACAAGAATGGCTGAATGTTAATAACGGAATAATTGTTCAAACAGGGTGATAGGTATGTTGGTTCATTATACTAGTGTCTACCTCCTTTGTATATACAAAATATTCCATTAATAAAAACTTTTTAAAGGTACTAGGCATTTTACTATTCCTATCAATTATTTATATAACTCAATACATATTCTTTAATTATAATTATTAATTAAAATCCTACATTTCAAATGGGGGTGTTTTAGGGAAAAGTGATTGCTTCAAAGATTCAGGTGTTTTCACTTCTTCTGAAGTTCTTAAAAATAAAGGAATTTCAGGAGTTTGTGGAAAATTCTCAGCCCTTTCTTCTACTTCATCCTTATCTATTGGCTTCTCAAAATGTTCTTCATAAATAACCTGCAAATTCAAAGTAACAGAAAACTATAAAAAGGAATGTTATTGCATTAGTAAATTCACATATATAAAAATGTGCGAGGTGGAAAACATCATATTAATGTATGATGTTATCATTTCATAGACAAAATAAGTAAAATAAGAATAGTTGGTGAAAGTAATACCAAAATTTATCTGTCCAAAAACGGGGGAAAAAAATGTAATTTTCTAATTTTTCTTTTCTTCCCAGTTTCACCTCTCCTACTCCTACCTGAAAAAATAACTGATAAGCATAAGAAAAATGATTAGGAATAATTTTTCTTTGTAAATTTTCACATCATGCTCTGGGTCAAGAGTTGTATATGATATCTCCTTGAAAAGGAGAAGTAATTTATTTCTAAGCAATCTTGCTCTCATTATGTTGCTTGCTTTTTTTTTTCTTTGCCTTATAAATTCATTATACTACTTTCTTGGCAAAGATTAAAAACTTAAATAACAAATTTTTCTTTACATTATTTTGTATGCTAGCAATGTGATTTTTAAAACATGTTTGTTATACCAAATCCCATTATAGAAACGGTTTGGGACACTCCACCAAAAAAATTTAAATGTGCTTTTTACCTATATTTCTTTATAGCAAAATACTATGTTGTTTCTCTGTGTTTGTTTTTAAGTTCTTTTTAAAATTAATTTATTTATAAGTACTGGTTTTACATGTATAGCTTAGTGGTTAGACAATCATATACTTTACATAGTGTTCCCCACAATATTTCCATTACCCCAACTGGCACCATACATAGTTATTGCAACATTATTGACTATATTTCCTATGCTTTACTTACTTCCCCATGACTATTTTGTAAATACCATTTATTTCTCTTGTTTTAACCTCTAGTATGATCAAGTTGGTATACACTGTCTAGACAAATCATCATTAAAGATTTCCATTATTAAAAATTTTCTGAAGCTATTTTTATGGTAACCATTGGTCTTAAATTGCCTTGGTAAATTATTCAATCTTATCAAACAAAATTATTTTCTTCCATTATGATTTAGTTGTGGTGTCAATATATATATAGTCAATTATTAATGACAACTTTCTATGTATTTTCATGTAAACTTTTGGTAGCTTCATTTTTTAATCTAAAACTCCTCTAAGGAATAGATTCTGTAACACCACAGCTACTTGATTACTAAGCTAATAACATGTACATCTCACATATATAATCTTTTTTTTTTTTTTTTTTCTTGGTACGTGCCCCTAGTGGGAACCGAACCCGGGACTCTCTGGTCCGCAGGCCGACACTCCAATCACTGAGCCAAACTGGCCAGGGCCACATATATAATCTTCATTATAGTAAATCTGAAATAAAAATGTAAACAGAGCATTTTAAATTGGAATGTTTTGCTGAGAAATTAAAAGTCAAACATTTGACTTACTTGTGAAGTAAATTTTGATTCTTTCAATTGTCTTACTTCCCCTTTATCTTCACGCTCAGCATCTGTTATATGAGAACAAACTATTTTTTCTTTTTGCAATTTAATTATAAATAAAACATGTTAGTCCATATGAAATTGTCCTACAAAAATGGCAATTTCACATAATTCAACATGATACATAGTAAGAGAATAAAACCTATGTGAACAGTTTAACAAACAAAATTATTAAGAGAACACGCATATAACCACCATGTATGAAATAGAAAATTATGAGTACTCTAAAATGTCCTATATTCCTCATATCCTCCTCCTCAGATATAACTGCTATCCTGACTTCTGTAATAATAATTTCCTTTATATATATCACCTAAGCAATATAGTTTATTTTTTCCTGTTTTAAAATGTTACATGATGAAATAATATGTGCTTTTTATCTTGCTTTTTTTGTTTAGCATATGCTGTGAGATTCATTTGTACTGCTACACATAGACATAGCTGCTTACTTTTACTGATGTAAAGAATTCCACTGTCCAAACACCACACAATGTATCAATCTATTTGACTGCAAATGAGCATTTGAGGTGTTTCTGCTTTGAGGCTATTACAAACATTCTTTTACATAAACATTTGCAAGTATGCACTTGTGTTTCTCTACATATATACCTAGGAGTGGAATTACAAGGTATAGGGCATGCATATCTTTCATTTTACCAGATGTTAAACTATTTTCAAAGTTTAGTTTCCAAACTACTTATCAATTTTTCTGTGACAACTGACCATCCTGAGTTACCCTAGGAAATCATTTAACTTCACAAGACAAAATTATTAGCTCCAATTATAATTTAGGTGTGGCCTCAATATACGGTCACTTATAAATGGCAGCTCCTACCACTAGTTATGAAAGTTCCTATTCCCTCACATTCTCATCAACACTTAGTATTATCAGACTTCTGAATTTTGCTAGTGTGGTGGATGTGTAATGATATTTCACGGTAGTGTTACTGTTCAGTTTCCTGATTTGCTGAGCAACTTTTTAGATCTTTGCCTGCCACAAAAGTTTCTCTATCTGAAGTGCCTATCTGTCTATTTTGCACATATTTCCAATTAGGTTGTCTCTTTTTCTTCTTGGTTTGTAGAAGTTCTTTCTACATTTTTGGAAACTAGTCTTTCAACAGTTCTAAGTCATCTTGCCGTCCACTATTTTTATAGTGTCTTTTGATGACTTAGTGACCTAGCTTCCATTCCAAAGTGTCTTTGGATGAATAGAAATTTTGAATCTTTAAAAAAAAATTTGTTTTCTTTATTGATTTTAGAGATAGAGGAAGGGAGAGGGAGAGAGAGAGAAACATCAATGAGAAAGAACAGTCATTGGCTGCCTCCTGCATGCCCCTCACTGGGAATTTGGCCCACAACCTGGGCATATGCCCTGACCAGGAATCGAACTAGCGACCTCTTGGTGCATGGGTCGATGCTCAACCACTGAGCCACACTGGCTGGGCAGAAATTCTGAATCTTAATATAGCCAAATTTATCAATCTTTCTTTTATGATTGGGCTTTTAAATTCTTATTTACTAGAAACCCTTTCTTATCTTGAATAGATATTTTTCTACTTTATCTGAAAGCTTTATAGTTTTGCATCTTGCATTTAAGTCACAACTATTATTTTTACCATATATTAACTACTTCAGAAAATATGCTTGGAAATTATTGAACAGGGCCTTTTTTCTTTTAAGATAACTATGTGCCTTCTTGAGTATGAAACCTCACTATACCTGCTCAATGGCAACTAGGACTACATCAGATACATAGATACATGTATTTCCCCACATAAGTGTACTGTTTCTAGAGATTAGCCATTCCTTCATTGTCTAATACTCTGTCAGCTTGGCATATATGGAGGATTATATAAACAGGTGGAACAGATCACCCTGCAGATAAGATATATTTCTTTATTCCAGAAGAAAGCAGTAAGAAGATCCATCTGCATGAAATAAGCATATTGTATTGGTTGAATCCTATATTCAGACTGTGAGAAATAGTTTATTATATGAACATTCTGAATATGCATAATTTACAGAAATTTTATACTGCCAGATGAGCCATTTTTAAAATGTCAAAATAAAAGTCAGTGCCCTGGCCGATTTGGCTCAGCGGTTAGAACATTGGCCTGCGGTCCAGGGAGACCCAGGTTCGGTTCCCGCTAAGGGCGCGTACCTCGGTTGCAGTTTGTCCCCGGCCCTGGTTGGGTCGTGTGGGTGGCAACCACTCAGTGTGTCCCTTTCATGTCGATGTTTCTCGCTCTCTCTCCTCCTCCCACTCTATCTGAACAAAATATCGAAAAATGTCTAAAAAATAAATAAATAAATAAATAAATAAATGTCAGTAAACCACATGCTATAGACAAGAAGAGATGAAGACTTTTATATAGAGTATGAATGGGATAATTATTATTAATTACTGGGCTACCAAAATATGCATATACATGTGTATGATATATTAAAAATATATATGTACACGTATACATATACATATATACACAGAGAGAAAGAGAGACTGAGAATGAGTTAATATTTTAAAGGGTGTGTCAGCGTTCCAATAGCTACCTTTTCTGGGATAATAAATGCATACATATATATCCTATGACCTTCCTATAATTTTATTCAAAGATAATAATCTAAGGTAGTAAAAGATTTATGTAAAAGAACATAGTAGCATTATTTTAATAGCCAAAAAAAACCTGGAAACAACAAAATATTCAAAGTCAGAGAATGGCTAAATAAGGTATAGCATATCCATACAGTAGTATATTATGCACTCACTACAAATAAATTCTCCTGAATGGTACGGAAAAATACTCTTGAAAACGACTTCTGGTCAAGATGATGGCGTAGGTAAAAGCAGTATCGCTTCCTCCCACAACCATATCAAAATTACAACTGAACTATAGAACAACCATCATTCAGAACCACCTGACATCAAGTTGAATGGAAGACCTACAACTATGAAATTAAAGAAGCCACATCCAGATGGGTAGGAGAGGCGGAGGTGTGGACAGGCTGGTCCCACACCCATGTGTGGTGGATAAAAATCAGGGGGATATCTCAGCTGTGAAAGTCCTCCCTGAGGAGCAATGGGTCCCAACCCACACCAGGCTCCCAGCTCAGGGTTCCAGTGCCAGGAAGAGAAGTCCCCATCATTTCTGGCTGTAAAAACCAGCGGGAACTAAGGCTGAGTGAAGCTGAGGTTTCTGGAGCCCCAGGCAGCTCCTCTTAAAGGGGCCACCATGGACTTACTCGGACTCACTCCCTCTGAGCTCCAGCACAGAGAGGAGGCAGCTTGAAAAGCACCAGAGATATACAGGGAAGAACTGAATTGTTCGGCATTGGGGTGAGAGCTGGAGAAGCAGCTTTCCCCTGGACAGATGTGAGCATGGTGGAGGCCGTTATTCCTTTGGTGATCCCTTCCCTGGGGCAGCAGACAGCAGCCATATCTGGAACTCCAGAAACCTGGCTCATACTGGTTGCCCTGCCCTGGTGATTCCTTGAAGCCCTGCCCACCCGACCTTTGGGCCCACCCAAGCTGTTTCCAGTGGCTTTACAGGATTGGCCTGTCTTGGATCCTGCTTCAGATTTTCCTAAAATCTCTCAAACAAGCAGCATCTGGTCTCAGCGAGCCCCATACCTCTTGTTAAGTGGCCCCAGGCCTGACACTAGAAGCAGCCAGCCTTGGTTCACAGTTTGGCTTTGCCTGGGCATCTACAAGCCCAGCACAAGAAGCAGCCATTGGTAAATCACTCTGTAGCTTATGCCTGATGGCCCCGGGGTAGAACACAGGCAGAGGCTGACCTTGCCCCAGAGCCAGCACACCCAGTGGACAGCTTCAAACCACATGGAAGCACCACCACGCAACAACCTCCACAAGCAACACATTCAATGAGTGGACTCAGTGTGTACCAGAGCCCAGCTGAAGTAAGTCTTGCTCTGTGTGTTGGGCCCCTATACAGCTGATCCTCCAAGGGAGTCAGAGGCCAGTGGTCAGCGGGCACAGCCAGTCCTTGCAGCTGATCAGCCTGAGTAAATCCCTCCCATTCACATGCAATCAAGACTCTATTACAACAGAAAGGTGTCCAGTCGACACTAGGGGTGCACCTCGAGGGCCCAGCTGGGGTGATCAGGGAGGCTGTGCCACTGGACCCTACAGGACACCTACAACAATAGGCCACCCTACGAAGCCTAGAAGACATAGCAACTCTACCTAATAAATAGAAAAAAACACAGGGAAGCAGCCAAAATGAGGAAACAAAGAAACATGTCCCAAGTGGAAGAACAGAACAAAATTCCAGGAAAAGAACTAAACAAAATGGAGATAAGCAATCAATCATATGCAGAGTTCAAAACACTGGTTATAAGGTTGCTCAAGGAACTAGGAACTTAAGGAGAATTCCAACGAACTTAGAACATCAACACCATGAAAAAGGACCAGTCAGAAATGAAGGATACGCTAACTGAAATAAAGAATAATTTACAGGAAATCAATAGTAGAGTAGGTGAAGCCATGAAGCAAACCATCGATTTGTAATATAAGAAAGCAAAAAACACCCAATCAGAACAGCAAAAAGAAAAAAGAATAAAAAAAAAAAAAAACGAGCACAGTGTAAGAAGTCTCTGGGACAACTTCAAGTGTACCAACATTCACATGATGGGGATGCCAGAAGGAGAAGAGAGAGAGCAAGAAATTGAAAACCTATTGAAAAAATAATGACAGAAAACTTCCCTAACTTGGTGAAGGAAACAGACATACAAGTCCAGGAAGCACAGAGTCCCAAACAAGATGAACCCAAAGAGGTCCACACCAAGACACATCATCATCAAAATGCCAAAGGTTAGACAAAGAGAGAATTTTAAAAGCATCAAGAGAAAAGCAGTTCATTACCTACAAAGGAGCTCCCATAAGACTGTCAGCTGACTTCTCAAAAGAAACTTTGCAGGCCAGAAAAGAGTGGCAAGAGATATTCAAGGTGATGAAAAGCAACAACCTACAACCAAGATTACTCTATCCTGCAAAGCTATCATTTAGAATCGATGGCCATATAGTTTCCCAGACAAGAAAAAGCTAAAGGAGTTCATCACCACCAAACCAGTATTATATGAAATGCTGAAGAGTCTTCTTGAAGGAGAAGAATAAAAATATGAACAATAAAATGGCAATAAACACATATCTACCAACAATTGAATCTACCAACAAACGAGCAAGCAGAACAGAAACAGACTCATAGATACAGAGAACTTTTTGTTACTTGCCAGATGGGAGAGGGCTGGGGAAATGGGTGAAAAAGATGAAGGAATTAAGAAGTACAAATTGATTGTTAGACTTATGAACCTCAAAGGGAAGAGGGGGAGGGAGGGTGGGAAGAGATAAACTAAAGAACTTCTATGCATATATGCATAACCAATTAACACAAACAATAGTGTGGGGAAGGCAGGAGTGGGGTGAGATTGGGGAGCAGGGGTTCAATGGGGAAAAAGGGAGGGCATCTGTAATACATTCAACAATAAAGATAAGTTTAAAAATAAATAAAAATAAATTTAAAAAAAAATTTTTTAAATGCAAAAAAAAAGAAAAATAACTTCAACTACAGCATATCAATTGGGAAGAAAAGAATACAAAATTATATACATAGCATATTTCAAATCTTCGGGGGAACTGTAAAAGAACAAAACATACATATGCATAGGAAAAAAGTCAACAATATACACCAGTATGTATAGGGTTGCTTATGTCTGGGTGGTGGTTATTTTTGTATTTTATATGTTTTTCTCTGTTTTCCAAATTTTCTACAATGAAATGTATTTGTTTTCTATTTAAGTGAAAATGTGCTTAAAAACCAGGCTTGCACGGTCAGTTAACCAGAGATGCAAGCAATCCAAATAATATATTTGAATAGTATAAAAATCTGATATAATTTGTTAGTCCCGATTCTTAGAAAAAATATAAATAGTAAATAAATACCTGTATCTCCTTTTTCAAACCACTGATTGAAATTTGACTGTTCCTGAGGAGTTAAAAATCTAAAATACAATAAATATAATTTTATATTATTTGCTAAGTTGACAAATTACTTCAGAAATCAAAGCATTTTCTTATTTTTAAAAGTTACCTGAACTGCATAAAATTCTGTGAACTTTTAATAGCCATAACATGTGAAAGTTTTGAGTGGCTATTCATAGCAGAGTCATTAAATACCTAAAGAACAGAAATTAAGCATTAGAACTGGCTATACAAAACAACACAATTTTTTTGGCTTGCTTGCCATGACTACTCAGAGCTCTCCAAGAACCTTGTCACCCTCTTCATCATTTTTATCAATATCAACAACTACAAACATTAACTGAAACTACCACATATAAAACATTAAATGAAATACTGGGAAACAAAAAAGATTTAACTCTCAAGGAATTGGATGTTTTTGACAAGTATAATAACTATGCTTGGTAGTGTTTCTACATTTAAGGTAAACCTTTTAATATTTTATCCCATATTCGTGGCTAATCAAGTAAATCTTACCATTTTCTCAACCAATTACCTGATTTCTGCATCTCTCTATTCTCTATAACCTCTCAAACTGAATACAAACCAGCAGGTTAAAAGATTAAAACCTGAAACTTTCTTTTTTATATATGTATAAAAGAGCTAATATTTCATTTTTAACTTTAAATTTTGTTTAATATTAATATCTAAACCACTGCTTTACTAATGATTACATTGTCTGTTTCAAGTCTTTAATTCTCCTTGAGTCACTCATTTTAAAGAGTCCCTGATTTTTCTTATTTGGTCCAAAATGAAATTTATTTTAATAGAAAAGTTTACCCCATTAATTTTTTGTTATAACAGCCACTGGTCTTAATTTTGTCATCTTGTTGGGCTTTCAGATGACAGAAAAAGACCAAAAGACCTTGTCCTTTAAGGAACACCTGTCCCTTAAAGAACAAGTGTTTTTTTGATGTATGTTTTAAACAATATACATGTTTCTATATGTCTCCTAGTACAAGTGTTTGTACAAGTATTTTAAGTATTTGTTTACAGTAGATGCCAAGAAGTAACACTGCTCAGTATGTGCATTTACAAAAATTTTTATTCTTTCTTTCCTTTATTGATTTTAGACAGAGAGGAAGTGAGAGGGAGAGATAGAAACATCGATGAGAGAGAACATCGATCGGCCACCTTCAGCATGCCCCCCACTGGGGGTCGGGCCCACAACCTGGGCATGTGTCCTGACTGGGAATCCAACCGGTGACCTCTTGGTGCATGGGTTGATGCTCAACCAGTGAGCCAGTATGGACAGTATGTGCATTTTTATTTTTAATAAGTACTGTGAATCATTCCTCCAAAGCAGTGGTACCAATTTATACTCCCACTATCATTGACCTTACTAGATATTAGCAATTGTTTTGATGTCTGAAAACAGGTGAAACCAGGTATCTCATTGGTTTAATTTGCGTTTCCCTGTACTCCTGAAGTCAACATCTAGTTCTGTTTGGTGATCCTTTGTCTTTCCTTTTCTGTAAACTACCTTCTCTTTGACCCATTTTTATTCTTCTTTATTAATTTGTAAGAATTATTATGAATTTCTTTATATATTATACATTCTGGATACCAATCTCCTGCCCATTCCATCACTGTCTTTTAACTTTGTTAGTATCTTTTGTAATACAGAAGTTTTTTATTTTGATGTAGTCCACTAATAAGTTTGTCTTTCTTGTTCCACACTATTATAATTACTGCATTTTGATAATGTTTTAAAGTGTTTGGGGATGGTGAAAATGTTCTGGAATTAGCCAGTGGTGATGGTTATACTACACTGTCAATATACTAAAAACCACTGAATTGTATTCTTTAAAATGGTGAATTTTATGATATATGAATTATCTCAATAACAAAAGTAAAAAAGTAAACATTTTGATATCTGGTAGTATGAGTCTCCCTAACATTCTTTAAAAATTCTATTTTAAATCTTTTTTGTTTGTTTGTTTTTACCTCCGCAGTCATTTATTAGTCTGTTAATGTAGTGAATCACACTGATAGATTTTGCTAATGCTAAACCATTGTAACATTTCTTGGGAAAAGTGAACATAGCTACTTTTTAGACTTGGTTTAGATATCCTTTTTATTATATCAATTGGTCAATTTTGGTGAATACTGTAAACAAAAATTTAACTGAATTCTGTGTATTTTAGATACAAAATTTGCTAATTGTGTTATTCACATCCTCTACATCCTTACTTATCATTTTTTTTTAACCTTACTTGATAGTTTCCTGTGGCAGAAACTGCCAGTTTTCTATCCTAGTCATAATCTACTTTCCCTTTGTGTTCTGATGAAAAACAAAAACAAAACCACCTATATTTCTCAACCTTTCCCCAGACAGAGGTAGCCATATGACTAAGTTCTGTCCAATGAAACATTATTATAAATTGTTTAAGAGCTTCCAGGAAGGATCTTTAAAAATGGGACTGAACCCTGGCTGGGTAGCTCAGTTGGTTAGAGTGTCGACCCAATATTCCAAGGTTGAAGGTTCAATCCCCAGTCAGGGCACATATAGGAATTAACCAATGAAAGCATAAATAAGTGGAACAATAAATCAATGTTCCTCTCTCTCTAAACTCAATTTAAAAAAATGTTTTAAAGGGGGCTGAATCTGCTAGCCTTTCCCCCCTTCTCTCCTGACTCAGAGGCAGGTATAATGGCAAAGTTGCAATGGTTAGCTTCTGATCATGATGTGACCTTGAAGCAAAAGCTAAGCATTTCAGGATAACAGGAAAAGAAAGCATAGATGTAGCCTGAGAAATAATGAAAATGTGGAGATGGTGCTATCAGCCCTGATAAGTGAACCTGAGTCACTTTAGAATTTCATGGTAGGCAAAAGAAAAATACATATTTATCTTGTTTAACATTATTATTTCATGGTTTGGTTTTACATTATTTCATATGCAGCCAAACTCAAATCCTAAACTCAGAGTCAGCACTTTTTTTGATAGAGCAATCCTGTTTTAACTGTGGATTCAATTTATTCTTTGAAATTCTATTGATTTCTGCTTTATATATTTTGAAACTATATAATTTGGTGCATCATTGTTATGACTTCTTGATGAATTATTCTTTTTAAAAATATGAAATATATTTATCCTGTTGTGTTTTTTTTTATCTTGAACTCTATTTTATATAGCATTGTTACAACTGGTTTGGTTTTGTTTGCATTTGCCTGATGTATATTTTCCATCCTTTTATTTTCAGCCTTCATTTGTCAAGTTGTTTCAGCTGTTCTGTTTTAATAGTATATATCTGTATTTTCTTTTTTTTTTATCCTCACCTGAGGATATTTTTCCATTTTTTGTACAGATAGAGTGGGAGGGAGAGAGAGGAAGGGAGAGAGAGAGAGACATCGACGTGAAGGGACACATCGAGTGGCTGCCACCCGCATGACCAACCAGGGCCGGGGACAAACTGCAACCGAAGTACGTGCCCTTAGCGGGAACTGAACCTGGGTCTCTCCGGACCGCAGGCCGACGCTCTAACCACTGAGCCAAACTGGCCAGGGCTGTATTTTCTTTATATAGTTGATAGAAGCACCTATGTCTCATTTTTATTATTACTGATTTATTCAGAACTATTTTTGGCACCTTATTTTTTCTATTTAAAACACATTCTAGTTGTTTTATTTTTCCCCCATTATTACCTTCTGTGGGACTAATTTTCTTCGTTTCATCTTTTTTTTTCTACTGTTTTAAAAGTAACACATTACATTTCTCTACTGTTGGTTACCCATAAATGTTTAACATATACATACATTTACATGTTTCCAACAATATATAGAGTTAGTCAGTATTTGTATCTTCTCCTTCCATCCCCAAATTAAAAACAGAACTTGAGTAAACTTGTTTACTTCCTATCTTCATCCCATATTGCTATCATCTAGAGTTTTAGTACCAGATTTTTAAGCTTCATAATTTTAATACATATTTGGAATTAATAAGTTTCACTAATTACTTTGGTCACTACTACTCCTTTATCTGTGTGTATTATTTATGAGTTAATGGAAAGCAATTGTATTTTTCATTGAGAATTTCCCTCTGGACTATTTTCAGGAAGAATGAAGGAAGAGAGATGTGCCACCCCAGAAGCTAGCTTTATGGGTGGTATGCTTCTTGTTCTTCATGCACATAAAGAACTACCCAGAGTACCACCTCTCTCTAACCCAAGCTTCTATACTCACTTTTCTGCCTGGGGACAGTCATCCCATTGCTGATGCCTGGCCAAAGGCAGAAGGATTATGAGATGAATAGATGTTAACTAAACTAACATCCACTGAAGTAACCCAATCAATTACCCTATTCATTGCTCTCATCCTTATAACTTCTATAGGAGTATTCTCCTATGCAAGTCCTGGGCCACAATTTCCCTCTTTGATCCAATCCTGTTTTCCTCCTTCAGAAATGGTTCACAGTTTTTGGTCTACTGGGTACAGAGCTTGGTATTTTTAAATATCTTTTCTATTATTTTTAGGAATACATGAGAAGGCTACAGTATATGCTCAGGCTGCCATGCTGAAATTCTTGTTTTTTTTAGACCCTGAGGTTGTACTAATAGTTGATTTAATATATTTATAATACAGATACAGACAGACACACAAACACACAGCATGTCCTAAATGCAATACATTCACCATCTCATTTATTGCAAGCAGGTATTTATACTATTAAAAAAGAAATACCTACCTGCATATTGTTTTCTTTTCGTTTGGAATCAATACTGGCAAGCTTTGACTGTGTCACAGAACTGTCCTCTTTTTTATCTAGGTTATTAAATTGTACAACTTCAAATCAACTCCAGAGATATATCATACCCAACATTTAACCAAACCTTGTAATTTAAAAAATCAAGCCACATGAATACTTAATTTAAATTAAAATACAGAATTATGAAAATATTACACAAATCTTAATTCCTCACCATATAATAGTTATTACAATAACTATGACTGTAAAATGAAAACCAGCTGGCAAAACTACATCTTTATAATGGGGATTAAAAGACAGAGTGGTGATATTAATGACCAGGGGGCAAAAATAGCCAAAGTACTTAATCTAATACAATGTATTTAATATAATATAATCTATTGAGTGAATCATGATTCAAATCTCAGTGACTAAGTCACAAATATCATTAACACAAGTCTGCTACCCACTTTCAATCATTAATATTAGTAACACAACTGAGACATATAATTATTCATCCTCCTGATGGTCGTGCAAACAGATCAGAACACTTTTTAAAATGTAATATGAGTGATTTCTCTTTCGAAGAGAATAAAGTTAAGTATAAAAGGCCTGTCTTGTTTGCTGTCAGAAAAAAATCAAAGTGATACTTTCCTGAGTTGATAGGTCTCTAGCAGTTTGTTCTTGGTTATACCAAATGATAACTAAAATTGCTTATTTCTATTTCTTCTGCTAGGTGTTTGCAAGGAAAATTGTTTTTGAAAATAAACAGATACTGTACCTATAAATCTTGGTTCTGAAGACAGAATATTCATTGGTCTGACTAATTTCTGAGATTCACTTGGAAGAAATAATTGGCTTTTCTGAGAGGTTTTATTCAATGTAAGTACATGTTCATCTTTTTCAAAAATTCTAAAGAGAAGAGTGAATTACATTAAATATTAGTGAAATAATAAATTAACATATATTGATTTCACTTTGGGTGGTGAACACACAATGTAATATACAGATGATGAAGTACACCTGAAACCTATTTAATTTTATTAACCAATGTCACCCCATGAATTCAATAAAAGTTAATATATATTAAAGCCAGAAGAGATCTAGATACTATATAGTTAAAACTCCTTATTTCACAGATAAAACTGAGTTCCAGAGAATTTAACAGATCTACCCAATATTACTAAATTACTAGGGTCATAGCTAAAACACACCTTTCCTGATTAAGTCGAGTGTTGTTCTTAGTATACCACACTCACATGTTTAAAACATAGTAATTTTAAAAGACTTCCTAAACATGTCAAAAATATTTTAAACTAAAACTTTATCTATAGATAGCATGCTTTAGATTTTGAAATACTTCAAACGTTAAAAAGATTTATTTAGAGGTAAATCAACTAGCATGTAATAGAAATCATTAAAGTAACATTACGATCATAAATAAATCTTTTAAGTTTTTACTGGAAGAATAATTTCATTGAATTTTTTCCTAAGTTAAAGAAATATTTTTAATTATTGATGATTAAATAATTTAAATATTTATGTTACTTAATATCAAGTAAAAATGACTAGTTATATAAGATCCTCTCAATATAGATAATTTTCATATTAAAAATTGTCAATAAAGTGAAATTCTGTAGATTTAGTATTTTCTAATGAATTTTATTATAAAATTAAAGGCACATTACTATGAATGTGAGACATGAGAGTGAGGGAATCAAGAAAATAATGGAACCAAGAAAGTGGGGTCAGGGAAATTAATTTGGTAGCGGAGTGTGTCGAAAAATCAGGATAAGAGCAATGGAGTCTGAGGAGAGGAACTTAAGAAGAATAAAAAGGATATAGGCAGATGAGAAAAACAGAACGTTTCTCAGAAATAACAACAGTATGCCCTGGGCGGTTTTGCTCAGTGGTTAGAGCATCGGCCTGAGGTCCAGAAAGACCCAGGTTTGGTTCCCACTAAGGGCACGTACCTCGGTTGCAGTTTGTCCCCAGCCCTGGTTGGGTTATGCGGGTGGCAACCACTCGATGTGTCCCTTTCACGTCGATGTTTCTCTCCCTCTCTCTCTCTCTCTCTCTCTCTCTCTCTCTCTCCCTTTCCACTCTATCTGAACAAAAAATTGAAAAATGTACTCAGGTGAAGATAAAAAAAAAAAAGAAAGAAAGAAAGAACAACAGTAATACATCTGTTTTTTTATCATATAATAACAGACAAAATCAATCTATTTTTTAAAATGCCTCCACCAACTTCCGGTCAAGATGGTGGTGTAGGTAAACGCATATCGTGTCCTCCCACAACCACATCAAAGTTACAACTAAACTACAGAACAACCATCATTCAAAACTGCCTAAATCAAGCTGAATGGAAGTCCTGCCACATCGAGACTGGTAGGAGGGGAGGAGCGGAGGTGGACGGGCTGGTCCCACACCCACGTGTGGCGGATTAAAAATCCGGAGGATACCTCAGCTGGGAAGGTCCTCTCTGAGGACTGAGGGGGTCCCCGTCCCACACCAGGCACCCTGGTCACCAGTGCCAAGAAGAGAAGTCCCCATAACTTCTGGCTGAAAAAACCAATGGGAACTGAGGCTCAGGGAGGCTGAAGTGGCTGGAGCCCCAGGCAGCTCCTTTTAAAGGGCCCACACAAGGACTTATCAGACTCACTTCTTCAAAGCTTAGAGGGGAGGCACCTCGAGGGGTGCCAGAGACATACAGGGAAGAACTGACCAGTTTGGCATTGGAGCGAGGGCTAGAGAGAGGGCTTTCTCTGGGACAAACGTGCTGTCAGAGGCCTTTGTTCCTTTGGTGAGCCCTTCCCTGGGGCGGCAGACAGCCGCCATATCTGGGACTCCAGCAACCTGGCTCATACTGGTTGCCCCACCCTGGTGATTCCCTCAGGCCCCGCCCCATCCAACTTTCAGGCCCACCCAAGCTGTTGCCAGTTGCTTAACCATAGGATTGGCCTGTCTTGGATCCTGCTTCAGGTTTTCCTGTTTTCCTAAATTCTTTCAAACAAGCAGCATGTGGTCTCAGATAGCCCCATACCTCTTGTTAAGTAATACATAGAAACAAACACAGGGAGGCAGCCAAAATGAGGAGACAAAGAAACAGGTCCCAAATGAAAGAACAGAACAAATCTCCAGAAAAAGAACTAAGTGAAATGGAGATAAGCAAACTAACAGATGCTGAGTTCAAAATACTGCTTATAAGGATGCTCAATGAACTTAGTGAGAACCTCAGCGAACTTAGTAAGGGCCTCAAGAGCATAAAAAAGGACCAGCCAGAAATGAAGGAGGCACTAACTGAAATAAAGAATAATTTACACAGATTCAATAGTACAGTAGGTAAAGCCAAGAAGCAAACCATCGATTTGGAATATATGGAAACAAAAAAACACCCAATCAGAACAGCAAAAAGAAAAAGGAATCCAAAAAAATGAAGATAGTGTATGGAGCCTCTGGGACAACTTCAAGTGTGCCAACATTCGCATCTTAGGGGTGCCAGAAGGAGAAGAGAGAGAACAAGAAATTGAAAACCTATTTGAAACAATAATGGCAGAAAACTTCCGTAACTTGGTGAAGGAAACAGACATACAAGTCCAGGAAGCACAGAGAGTCCCAAACAACATGAACCCCAAGAGGCCCACACCAAGACACATCATCATCAAAATCCAAAAGGTTCAAGACAAAGAGAGAATCTTAAAAGCACCCAGAGAAAAGCAGTTAGTTACCTACAAGGGAGTTCCCATAAGGCTGTCAGCTGATTTCTCAAAAGAAACTTTGCAGGCCAGAAGGGAGTGGCAAGAAATATTCAGAGTGATGAAAACCAAGAACCTACAAGATTACTCTATCCTGCAAAGCTGTCATTTAGAATCGATGGCCATATAAAGAGTTTCCCAGACAAGAAAAAGCTAAAGGAGTTCATCACCACCAAACCGTTATTATATGAAATGTTGAAGGGTCTTCTTGAAGAAAAAGATAAAATATATGAACGAACAAAATGGCAATGAATACATATCTATCGACAATGGAATCTACAAACAAAATGAACAGGCAGAACAGAAACATTCTCAGATACAGAGAACATTTTGTTGGTTGCCAGATGGGAAGGGGGTTGGGGAAATGGGTGAAAAAGGTGAAGGGATTAAGAAAACAAATTGGTTGCTAGACTGACAAACCTCAAAGAGAAGGGGGTTGGGGGGTGGGAAGAAATAAACCAAAGAACTTACATGCATAACCAATGGACACAAACAATAGTGTGGGAAAAGGCAGGAGGGGGGCGGGAGTGGGGAGGAGAGGGTCAATGGGGGAAAAATGAGGAACATCTGTAATACATTCAACAATAAAAATAAATGAATGAATGAATAAACAAAATAAATAAAATACTTCCACCACTGATATCTATTTTATCACCATTAGGATGAATGACAAGGAAACATATGATGCCACAAATCAGTAGTATTTTGGCTCATCTTCACTCTATATGGCAAAGAAAGAACTAAATGGTCAAGCTGGTGACAAGATGATAAAAAGGTTAAGTACATTGCTGCTCCCATGATTGTTCCTATTGGTGACTCATCATGGAAAACTTGGTGAAATATCACAACTGACAGGTTTACAGAACAATGAATATGCTCTGCTACCCCATTTCTCTCTACAAATTATCCTTGGCTGTACGAAATAACAAGCAAATTTGATAATTAGTCCATAATATTTAAAGGTATAAATTAACATTTTTATCAAAAATGAACATAAAATAGTCTGTACAAATATAGCTAGATAGATGACAGATAGATAGATAGATAGATAGATACTGTGTAAATATTAGTGGCTTGGGATAGACTGCAGAATAAAGTTGTTAGATGCAGAATATTTGTTTACATAAAATCCCACTTTATAGGTACCTATACCTTTCTTTCAGTTCCTTTCTTTTTTCTATATCTTTAGTTTTTTCTTCTAGAATTTCTGAAAGATTTTTAGTTTCATAAAGTCTTGCAATCTGCTAAAAAGAAAAATGATAAAGCAAAAGAAAATAATTACTGCAAAGTATTTAGGAACATGCTTTATCTTAACTAATAAATATGATTTTTTTATATATAATCACAAGATTTACATTTTTGGTAGTATTAGTTTTTAGTGAAAGTTGCTAAAATAAAGTAAAATTAACAATAATCCTGCCCAGCTGGTGTGGCTCAGTATTTGAATGTCAACCCATGCACCAAGAAGTCACCGGTTTGATTCCCGCTCAGGGCACAAGCCCAGGTGATGGGCCCAATACCCAGTAGGGGCATGGAGGAGTCAGCCAGTCGACGTTATCTCTCATTGATATTTCTATTTCTCTCTCCCTCTCCCTTCCTCTCTCTCTAAAATCAATAAAGAAAAAATGAATTAATTAAATTAGCAATAAGCCTACTCCTTTAACTTTTCCATACAACTCTATTAGCAAACCTAGATTTCAATGAACTTCCACCTTTATTATTATTATTATTTATTTATGTATTTATTTTATCCTCACCCGAGGACATTTTCTTGCATTTATCTTCACACAGAGTGGGAGGGAGAGAGGGTGGAAGAGAGAGAAACATCGACGTGAGACAGACACATTTAGTGATTGCCACCCACACGACCCCAACCGGGGCCAGGGACAAACTGCAACTGAGGTACGTGCCCTTAGCGGGAACCGAACCCGGGACTCTCTGGTCCACAGGCTGACGCTTTAACTGCTGAGTTAAACTGGTCAGGGCTTATTATTTTTATTTATTGTTGACACTATTACATCTGTGACACTATTACGTCAGTAATATTGTCAGACATTACAATATCTGTAATATTGTCAGATACTGTATTATTAATAGTTTCACCTTCCTTTCTTTTCTTTTTTTATTTATCCTCACCCGAGGACATTTTTCCATTTTTTGTTCAGACAGAGTAGGAGGGAGAGAGAAGAAGAGAGAGAGAGAAACATCGACGTGAAAGGGACACATCGAGGGGCTGCCACCCCCACGACCAACCAGGGCCGGGGACAATCTGCAACCGAGGTACATGCCCTTAGCGGAAACCGAACCCGGGTCTCTCTGGACCGCAGGCCATCGCTCCAACCACTGAGCCAAACCGGCCAGGGCTCACCTTCCTTTTTAAAAAGGACAGTCAGAAGCAAAGTAGACATAGATTCCCTACAGAGACATAATTACCATATACTTTGATTTTTTTTTATCCTCACCCAAGGACATTTTTCCATTTTTTTGTTCAGGTAGAGTGGGAGGGAGAGAGAGGAAGAGAGAGAGAAAGAGAAACATTGACGTGAAAGGGACACATCGAGTGGCTGCCACCCGCATGACCAACCAGGGACATACTGCAACTGAGGTACACGCCTCTAGCGGGAACCGAACCCAGGTCTCTCTGGACCTCAGGCCAACGCTCTAACTGCTGAGCAAAACTGTCCATGGCTACCATATACTTTGAAAGAAGTAAGCCGTGGCTGGTTTGGCTCAGCAGCTGGAACATTGGCCCGCAGACCAGAGAGGCGCAGGTTTGGTTCCTGTTAAGGGCACATACCTTGGTTGCAGTTTGTCCCCGGCCCCTGTTGGGGTCATGTGGGTAGCGACCAGTCGATGTTTCTCTCTCTTCCTCCCTCTCTCCCTCCCGCTCTATCTGAAGATAAACAAAACAATGTCTTCGGGTGAGGATTAAAAAAAAAGAAAATGATATTACTGTTATCTGGAACTTCATACCTATGAATGATAACTGTGACATCTTTAACACAATGTTTAGAAAATTAGCTATTAAATTTTTCTCAAAATTTGGAAAATTTTGGACTTCAATGAGTTCTCATACCTCTTAATGAAAGTCACATTTCAATAGATGGCACTGAAAATATATAAGAGCTCTGGCCAGTGTGTCTCCCGTGCACCAAAAAGTGATGGCTGTAATTCCTAGTTAGGTCACATACTCAGGTTGTGGGGTTGATCCCCCAGTGGAGGCACATATGTGAGGTAACTGATCAACTTTCTCTCTCACATCAATGTTTCTCTCTCTCTCCCTTCCTCTCTCTAAAATGAATTTTTAAAAATGTGTTCAGCCCTGGCCAGTGTGGGTCAGTGGTTAGAGCACTGGCTCACAAACTGAAGGGTTGCAGGTTCAATCCTTGGCCCCAGTTGGGGTCATGCAGGAGCCAGCCAATTGATATGTTTCTCTCACATCGATGTTTCTCTCTCTCTCTCTCTCTCCTTTCCTCCCTCCCTCTCTTCCACTCTATCCAAAAAATCAATGGAAAAATATCCTCGGGTGAGGATTAACAACAACAACAAAAGTATTCAAGAAAATAACATGCGCTATCAATCTTTTTTTTTTTTATCTTCACCCGAGGACATTTTTCCATTTTTGTTCAGATAGAGTGGGAGGGAGAGAGAGGGAGAGAGAGAAACATCAATGTGAAAGGGACATATCGAGTGGCTGCCACCCACACAACCCCAACTGGGGCTGGGGACAAACTTCATGCTCTTAGCGGGAACCGAACCCGGGTCTCTCTGGACCGTGGGCCAACGCTCTAACGGCTGAACCAAACTGACCAGGGCTGCACCATCAATCTTAAAGGCTAAACTAGTTCTAGCCCAGCTCTATAAAGCTTATAGTCATAAATTTTCAAGATTAAGTTCTTTCAACCATGTATTGTCTTATTTTCTTTTTTGAGAACACTTGTAGCTCTTTTAATGACTTTAAACTCCTGTTATTAAACTATATGTGGTTCTTTTCTTTTTTTTTTTTTTTTATCCTCACCTGAGGATATTTTTCCATATTTTGTACAGATAGAGTGGGAGGGAGAGAGAGGAAGAGAGAGAGAGAGAGAAACATCGACGTGAAGGGACACATCGAGTGGCTGCCACCCGCATGACCAACCAGGGCCGGGGACAAACTGCAACCGAAGTACGTGCCCTTAGCGGGAACCGAACCCGGGTCTCTCCGGACCGCAGGCCAACGCTCTAACCGCTGAGCCAAACCGGCCAGGGCTATATGTGGTTCTTTTCATCAACTTTTTCCTTAGCCCCCAAAGAAAGTTAAAACTAGTCCTCAAAATCCAGAGTTGAATATACTCAATACTTACATTTTGGCTCCAAAGGCAATCTGAGGCACACAAATTATCAGAAGCCTTTGTCCAGGTTTAGGCTCTTTAGAAATAGCTGTTCTAAGACCATCAAGTAATATACCATTACACTTATACATTAATACATATAATAGAAACATGACAAAATATATACCTGGTTTAAATAATTAATTTCTATTTCCATTTCATCTGCTTCTTTCTTCAATTCACATGAAATTTTGGAAAAATTGTTGGCATGTCTAAGAATATCTTGTGTTTTACATCTCAAATGAACACTTACATGTTAAGGAACTATGTTATGCAAACAAATTTGACATTTATAATATGTGTACTATATCAGAAATAATTACTACCATGTAACATTATTTAAATATACATATCCCACATAAGCAATAACCAATATTAAAGCAGTATATGAAAAAAGAATAATGTAAACATATGTCAAACTGACAAAGATAATTTATTGTTTATCTGTTATATATTGAACTTAAAAATAACATTTCATCTAAAATACTTAAGATTTTTTTTCAGTTAAATATTTTTACAGTGTGGTTTTGTGTTTGTTTTTTTTTCAGTCAAGTCCATCAAGTCATTTGGCATGACTAATAATATACAACCAGTTCAGAGTCAAATCAAACTTCTTGTGTTTCCATTATTTATTTTTCCAAAGTCAACATTAAAAATTCACCTTTTTATTTTATACACACACACACACATATACACATACATATTTTTTGGTATATGCCCCTAGCGGAACTGAACCCGGGACTCTCTGGTCCGCAGGCTGACGTTCCAACCACTGAGCCAAACCAGCCAGGGCAAAAATTCACCCTTTTCTTGCTCTGTAAATTTCATCAGTGTATCCTGCAGAACTCAGAAGAGAACTAGATCTTCTATCTGGACTTTCTGCTTGGACTGAATTTATACCCAACTTCAAGTAGAGTATTTCTCAGCTGTTAATAGACATCCTGTATGGTTATTAGCTACTACAATTTCCTAAGCTGCTCTACAATCCATTTAGGAGAATTAAAAATAAATAGGATAGGAAACAAGAACTCCAGAGAAAAATCTGTCAAACCTTCTCTATTCTACCTTAAAATATGACTTATATGCTAAATTTTAGATGAACATTATTTATAATGCTATGCAATTCAAAAGTATCACATTTTTAGATATAGACATTTAAATCCTCTCCCTACCTCTAGCACCTTTTCTTGTTTGCCATGCATTCACACATCTCATCCCACCCTACATCCAACTCCCTAAACCCCTGCTGTACCTTCTGCATCTACCAATCTCTGCCCCTTCCCATTGAGAAGTTAAAACATAAATGGGCAGCAATTAACAACTAAGAACAGAATAAGCTAAAACCCAAACATGGAGAAAGCAAGCAGCAAAGGAGCAAAAGGATAATTGAGGATGAAGCAGAATGAAGAAAGGTAGAATGCAGGGATAAAGAAGACTTTGTACAAACAGTGGAGTTATAATCTGATAGGAAAGAGTATGATGGACTGTGGAGGTTGGAAGAGGATTAAAGTTTCAAGTTCATCACCAGGAAAGATCTTAACAAACAAATGAGACTTAGACCAATTGAGAATTACTTAACCATCTAATACAATGCCACTGTATCAGAATTATTTGCTTACATATCTGTCTCCTCTACTAAAAGCTCTTCACAAAGAAAGCTCTGTATCTTCTTGAGTATTGCCTCGCACAAGGCAGGTACCCAATGAATTTCTATAGATGAATGAATAATTGTGACTCACCTCCTTATTACCTTCCATCCTATTAGTAGTAATCAGCTAATTTAACTGGAATTCTTTCTTTGGTAAGACAGAGCAAGATGACTTCTTCTTTGGTTGCTAAGATATACCACTTAAGCCCTGGCCGGTTTGGCTCAGCGGTTAGAGCGTCCACCTGCGGTCCGGAGAGACCCGGGTTCGGTTCCCGCTAAGGGCACATACCTCGGTTGCAGTTTGTCCCCCGCCCTGGTTGGTCGTGCGGGTTGCAGCCACTCGATGTGTCCCTTTCACATCGATGTTTCCCTCTCTCTCTCTTCCTCTCTCCCTCCCACTCTGTCTGTACAAAAAATGGAAAAATGTCCTCGGATGAGGATTTAAAAAAAAAAAAGATATACCACTTAAAGCCTGATACATATACCACTTTATTCCCATTAAAACTGTCTGCTTCTGATCACATGCACATATATAAAAATTAATCCCAGATGACCTTTAAAGTAAACTCTAAAATTTTTAAATTAAACAAATTCGTGTGATTCTCACCAGAGAAACAATAACAATTAAAATAAAGAAATGACACTTATCTAATAAAAATTCTATTAGAATTCTATTAGAAATACTATTGTGGATACATATGTAATGTCCATTTGGTAAGTGATGGAAAGGGAGCAGGCACTGAAAAACAAAATCATATTTTAGACTGAATTATTATATTATTCTCATTATATAGATACCTGTTATAACAATATGTAATAAAAATGTTAATACCTAAAAATTCCATAAAAATAGTTTCATTCATTTTTAGTTGTTCAGTACATGTCAACACTCTGTTTTGAATTTCTTCATGTTCTCTTTTCTTCTCATAATATTCACGTGAAAGAGGTGCTTCTGAGTATTTTTGCTGGTATTGCTTCAAAACATCTTTATACTGACATACATAACCATGGTACATTTTTCTGTGAAAATTTTAAAAAATCATGTCATTATCATAGAGTATATTTTAAAACTTTCTAAATATCACTTGTCAAAGTCTACTAAATTAAACATAAAAGGCAAGTCAAATATCTACTCATCCCTGCTTCCCTAAATGCTGTTTGCCCTTCAAATTTTCCTTAACTCCATCGCACTTTTCAACTCTTACACTTTTTCTTCACTACCTGAGTTATTCATTCCTTAATCCTCTTCAATGTAACTTCCACTCTCACCATTCTGATAAAACTACCCTTCCCAAGTTCACTGATGATCTAATTTGTCTAACTCAGTGATCTCTTTTTAGAGTTCTCTTCCCAACTGACATTGTAGAACCTGGTTCTTTTTTAAAAATTATTTATTTTGTTTAGAGAGAGTAGAAGCCCTGGCCAGTTTTGTTCGGCGGTTAGAGCATCAGCCCGCAGTTTAGAGAGAGAGAGAGGAAAGGAGAGGGAGAGAGAGAACTGATTTGAGAGCAAAACATCAGCCCTGGCCGGTTTGGCTCAGCAGTTAGAGCACTGGCCTGCGGTCCAGAGAAACCCGGGTTCGGTTCCCTCTAAAGGCATGTACCTCAGTTGCAGTTTGTCCCCAGCCCTGGTTGGGTCGTGCAGGTGACAGCCACTCTTTCACGTCGATGTTTCTCTCTCTCTCCCTCCCACTGTATCTGAACAAAAAATGAAAAAATATCCTCGGGTGAGGATGAAAAAACAAAAAATAAAAATAAATAAATAAAAACATCAATTGACTGCCCCACACCAGGGATAAAGCCCCCACAATCCAGGCATGTGCCTTGGCTGGGAATCAAACCATCAACCTTTTGGTACACTGGATGACACCCAACCAACTGAGCCATACTGGCCAGGGCAGAACCTGGTTCTTTTGACCACTTCTTGAACTTCTATCCTCCCTTAAGTTCTGAGTCTCCATTCTCTCCAGTTCAGCTACTTCTATAACTATGCTTTTTTTAATTTAATTTTTTTATCCTCACCCGAGGACATTTTTCCATATTTTGTTCAGATAGATTGGGAAGGAGAGAGAGAGAGAGAGAGAGAGAGAAACATCGATGCGAAAGGTACACATCGAGTGGTCGCCACCCACACGACCTGACCAGGGCCGGGGACAAACCGAGGTATGTGCCCTTAGCGGGAACCAAACCCGGGTCTCTCTGGATCACAGGCCGATGCTATAACCGCTGAACCAAATCGGCCAGGGCAATAACTATGCTTTTTAAATCACCTTCAATTATCTAAGCCAAAATTATTACATAAAGTCATGTTCTACCTGTTAGACCTCTGGGTTCACAATCATTCCTGTATGATCCTAAACTATTTTAGAAAGAAAATTTCAGTACTGTTTGAAACTCCATTCCAACTCAGACAGAGGTGCATGGTCACCTATTTAAGCACAAGTTTTGAGTGAAACAGTTAATTCTTGCAAAAGGGTATTAACTCTTCCTTCTCATTTGACCTTTGCTTGCTCTACAGTAGGGGTCAGTTACTATGACCTATGGCCAAATCTAACCTGCCACCTATTTTTGTATACCCATTAGCTAAAAATGCTTTTTACATTTTTAAATGATTAGGAAAAATAAAAAGAATAATAATATTTCATGAAAAATTTAAGTTATATGAAATTCAAATTGTAATGTCCGCCGACAAAGTTTTATTGGGACATAATAATTTATTTTCATACTGTCTAAAGTTGCTCTTGCACCAGAACAGCAGAGTTCAGTAATTACAATAGACTGACTGTATAGCCTATAAAGCCTAAAATATTTAGCCTAAAATATTTACCATCTGGCCCTTTACAAAAATGTTAATCAGTCCTGACCTACATTATTGAAAATGTTCAATCCAGGTTCCTTACAGAAAATATATTCTTGGATCCTCTTTTTACCCAATTCTTTTCAAATACTTAGTTTCAAGAAATAATATTCATAGAAAATATTCTAAAAATATATATTCTTCATGTTCCTCAAAATTTTATAAATTTTGTAAATCAAGCCATACTATATGGGGAAATTACTTAAAAATACTATAATGATGAGAACCTTAGCATATGAGAAAAGAAGAACAATATTCATAAACTGTTTGTATAGTAAGAAGAAAAGGATAACAGCCTTATACTATGTAGCAAGTCTGAATCTTAAGAATGTTTTAATTCCTTAATATTACTAAATTCTGTTCCTTTTAACAAGATAAAGCAGTTAAGGCCCAAACAAGCTCCTATTCCTCTAAATGCATATTTGCTAATTAAGTGCTCACTTCTTAGGGAAATGGTCCAGAGAGGAGGGAAATACCTATTAGAAAACTGAGTCTGAGACACCAATTTCTGGTGAGATTATCATACCACATCTATCCTGTTCTATTATATACTTATGCCCACTCTTCTAACATACTCCATATAGGAACTTTGACAGAACCCAGCACAGCCAAGTCATGATTCAAGAAGAGTTGTTACTGAAGAGTCATTACTATCTCATCTGCTGCCAACAATACTAGTCTTTGTGAATGACTAGGACAGGGATGGGAGATTAGAAGAAACAAGGAGCTGGTGCCTCTACTTCTTTCATTACCCATGATACCAACAAAAAGACTCTTTTCCTTTTATAGATGTCTGGTATTGAGTCATCAATTTAATCAACCCATGTGGCTGGTTTAAAAATAAAAACATAGCTATTTTCACTTTAACAAATAGCTCTGGTGAGATAAGTCATCCACAATAAACACTATCAGAAAAGTACATATTTGGACTGGCTTGCATTAGCCCCTCATAGAATCATTTTAATAATTTTTATAACTAAGGCTTGCATTGAGAGATGTTATCAGCAATAATATATTTTGTTTATTTGGGGGAGGACACTGAAGATATTGATTACCACATTGCACAATTTCCCCTTTATGAGAGCCCAGGGGAGAAATTTCTCTCAATTCTTAGTACCAGGAAAAACCTCTGCTTATCCTAAGCAAATGAACTGTTTTTTAAAAGAATACTCTGAATTCCAAACTGATCACATTTCTATCATACCTTGACTACTACCTAATTTATGCCTATCTCTAACAAATGTACAAAACTGTGTGGTATGAATTTCTATCCTGTCAAAGGCTTCATCATTCTATATTATCCTTACTACCTTGTAGTCTTGATTTTTATATTTAGTTTTCTTTTAACACTATGATACTATTTATACTAATTATCTCAAATCCTTTTTGGATTAAAGCAGGGTCTATAAATGACAAAGTAACAGTTTCTTTTCACCCTCTGCCTGTTCCTTGAATGATCATGTATTATAGCTTTCTCTTATTTTTGCTCTATACATTTTCCTGGGCTATCTCATCTATTTCCATTATTTCAAATGCCAACAAAGTCCAAATCTATACCCTCAGTCTCTACTTTCTTATAAGACTCTCTGAATATAAAGGGTAGTGCATTCTAGATTGGGTGTGTTTTTAATTAAAATATAAAATAGGAGTGATGTCAGCAAGTTGGCAGAATAAAATGTCCCTCACGCATATCACCCTCCCCCAACAATAATTTGGCACCCATCAATAGCATAAAATGTGGGAAGAGGAGAAGTAAAAGTGTAGCTTTTATATGCAATTGATGGTAAGTAGTTATCAGCTTAAAGCAGTCTGTTATATCTGTAAAATGTTTATGGTATCCTATAGTAGGAGAAAGAGAAAGTAATTAAAGCATACTACTACAGAAAATAAATTAAAGGAATACAGCAAGAGACAAAGAAAGAAACAAAGGAACTAAAAATAAAACACTCAAAAAACAATAAACCTTTAGTAAACCTTTACATATTGATAACCCTTTAAAAGTAAATAGATTCGCCCTGGTAGGTTTGGCTCAGGGGTTAAAGTGTCAACACTAGGACAGAAGGGTCATGGGTTCAATTCTGGTCAAGGGCACATGCCTGGGTTGCAGGTTCAATCCCCTGGTCAGGGTGTGCAAGAAACAACCAATCTATGTGTGTGTGTCTCTCTCTCTTCTCTCTTCTCTTCTCTCTCTCTCTCTTGCTCTCGCTCTCTCCTTCTCCTCCTCCTCCTCTCTCCCTTCCACTCTATCTAAAAATCAATGGAAAAATATCCTCAGGTGGGGATTAACAAAAAAACAAACAAACAATAAATAAATAAAAATTAAATTAAATAGATTTAATTCAAAAGACAGAGAATAGCTGAATAGATTTACAAAATAAGATCCAATAATATGTTGCCTACAAGAAACTCATTTTAGCTTTAAGAACACACACAGGCTAAAACTGAAAGAATTAGTAAATATATTCCATGCAAATGGTAACAAAAATAGAGCATAAGTGGTTATACTGATATATAATAGACTTTCAGTCAAAATCAGTCATAAGAGACAAAGGTCAATTATATAATAATTAAAAGGTCAATTCATCAAGAGGATATAATGATTACAAATACACGCACACACTAGAGCACCTAAATATTCAAGGCAAATGTTAACAGAACTAAAATAAGAAATAGAGAGCAATACAACAATGGCAGAGGATTTCAATACCTCACCTTCCACACTGAAAATATCATCCAAATATAAATTAATAAGAAAAACAGCAAACCTTAATAACAGTATAGACCAAAAATACCTAACATACACAGGACATTTCATCTAACATCACCAGAATGCACATTCTTCTCAAGCCACACAAAATATTTTCCAGGATTGTATGTAGGGCCACAAAGCAAGCCTTCACAATTTAAGAAGAATGAAATGATATCAAATACCTTTTCTGGCCACAACTATATAAAACTAGCAATTGAGTCCTGGCCAGTTTTTCTCAGTGGTTAGAGCATTGACCCTCGGACCAAAGGGTTGCAGGTATGATTCCTGGTCAAGGGCATATACCTGGTTTGCAGGTTTAATCCTCAGCCCTGGTTGGGGTCGTGTGTTTCTCTCACATCAATGTTTCTCTCTTTCCATCCCTCCCTTCCTCTCTATCTAAAAATCAATGGAGACT